TGGTACAAAGAAATAAATGCTCTTTGAACCTTCAACCTTGTAGTTTACCAGTCCAGTACTTATCTTTTCCTACAGCACCATAACAAAGGCTTTTTATTGTTAAGTGCTGTAGAGTTGGTGCCGACCCATAGTGACCCTGTATAGGGTTTCCGAGGAGGAGCAGCTGACTGAGCTTAAACTGCCGACCTTGTGGTAAACTGACTTTGCAGTCCAGCACATTACCCCACAGTGCCATACCAGGACTCCAACAAAGGCTTAGCCTTTCTCAAGTGACTGAGTCTTTTTCCAAGTACACCTTCAACCAGTCTTAAGACTTATTCTTTCTTTTTATCCAAGTTCATGGCCTTATAAATGTAACAACAGAACTTCATAGGAAAAGCTGTATTTTGGTACCACACTAGCATAGTCTAACATATTATATCTAAAATACTACTGTCTGACAAAGTCGTCCTTCATCTCAAAGGGCCACACCATCCACCACACCCTTCTCTGGTTTTATCTGTTCAGCCACCTTTCTCGGTATTTCCCTAGGCTTCAGCATACACTCCAGCTTGCTTGCTGTCTGACCCTCCAGGTCTATCTTCAGACATCTATTCAGTATGTGCAATACTGAACTCCTTCCAATGTGCAGATTAATGCAAACCATGGAATGATTTTTATCCCTCTTTTTCACAAGGCTCACCTCCATCAAGGAAGCTTTCATGATTAATCTGAGACTATGGTTTTCAAACTCTTTTCAATGGTGACATACAACAAGGAGTAATTTACACGAGACTTAATACACACACACCACCTCAAACAAATAGCTCACAAGTCTGTAGTAATATTCTTCCTATATACAGGAATTGATACTTTTTATTGTGTTCCATTTCAGTTTTTTAAAAAATCCCGAATGGAATCTTCTAAATTTATGTCTCATCGCCCTAATGGATCATAACCTACAGTTAGAAAACCAATGCTCCATAACAATAAAAGGGTAATTACTTTGACATGATGCAGGAGAAACAGCTAGAAGCAGTAGCAAATATATGTGAGAACACCCAAGAAAATGTCACACTTCTCCCTGCCTATACTAAATGTAGAGGAACCACAAAGAGAAAAAGAAACTGTATCTCACAGGTCAAGGGTTGGAAAGAGACCATGGGGGAAAGACCAAATCTATTTGAATGGAAGAAAGATGACAGGGGCTTTTTTGTGTAACCAACAGACTTCACAATCTGAAGTCTTCCCCTTACGTAAAGTGTGTTTCCAACTAGGCTATCAACACTTGCAGGCAGGAAAATGTTATTATCCTTAAAAATTCTAAACTCCACTCAGACATAGCTGAAGCAGAATTTAAAATAATGTTGTTATTTTTAAGTGCCATCCAGTCTCTTCTGACTTATAGTAACCCTGGATAGGGTTTCTGAGGAGTGTCTGGTGGGTTAGAACTGCCGACCTTGCAGTTAGCAGTCCAGTGCTTATTTTACAACACCACACTAGGACTCCAAACTAATAATAAGAGGGTTGTTTTTTAATCCTAAATAATTCTTCCACCGCTTGCTAAGCGCTGTTGAGTAGGTTCCAACTCATAACAACCCTGTATAGCGTTTCCAAGGAGTGGTTGGTGGGTTTGAATCACCAATCTTGTGGCTACCAGCCCAGTGTTAGAAAGAAAAAATCTAGAGGGATAGATCATAAAATAGTAAAATACTACGAAATACGAAGAATCTCTTAAGTCAAGTTTAAAAAGTCAATTTCTAGCTTTGTATTTCATTTACAACACTGAATATTTATAAGAAGAAATTTAAAGATGCATTGTCAATGGCCACTGATGAAAGTTTTCAGAGAACATCTTTAACACATTTTAACATATATGAATACTGATATTCCAGCTAACTTACTACTATCTTGAACAACTTAAAAAATCTAATTCTGAACAGATATGACCAGTATGGTATTTTCAAGAAGTAGGTGTTAATTGGCTGAAATGATGGGTCATCCAATTTTCCCCTTTAGATGCATAATACAAAGTCTGTATCAAGGCAGTTCTTCTCCAGGTGGCTTTGTTGTTGTATTCAAATGTCATCGAGTAGGTTCCGGTTCATAGCCACTGTAGAGGGTTTCCGAGGAGAGGTTGGTGAGTTTGAACTACCAACTTTGTAGTTAACAGTGATAACCAATGGACTTCAAACCCACCAGCCGTTCCTTGGAACACTATATAAGGGTTGCTATGAGATGGAATCAACTTGATATCACTTAACAAGTCAAAACAGGCACAAATGAAATTTTAAAATGATTTCTCATGCAGGGCTAGTCATCAGCCGCTTTAAATGGCAGTTCACTCATTCATTCATCATTCCACAAGTACTTGATGCCTACAATACCAGGCACTAGACTAGGTCTTAGGAAAAAAAGTGAAAAGCATGCACAGCAGCCAATGAAAAATAATTGCTGGCAAGGATGTGGCAGCAAAATGTGTTACCTAGCCGGAAGGTAAAATGGTGCAGTAATTATGGAAAAGTTAAACTTAGAATTCCATTGTTGTTAAGTGCCATCGAGTAGGCTGCAACTCACAGCAACCCTGAATAGTGTTTCCAAGGAGAGACTGATGGGTTTGAACAGTGAATCTTGAGGTAAGCAGCCCAGTGTTTATCCTACAATATCACAACAGAACTCCAGTATTACCATGTTGCTATAGTTAAGTGCTGTTGAGTCAGTTCGATTCATAGAGACCCTGTATAGGGTTTCCAAGGAGCGGCTGGTGTTTTGTACCGCCGACCTTAGAGTTCACAGGACCTTGCGGTGCAGTGCTTATCCTACAATGCTATTGTGGTTGTTCTTATGTGTGTGGAGTCGGTTCCGACTCAAAGCGACCCTGAACAGGGTTTCCGAGGCTGTAAATCTTTACCGGAGCAGAAAGCCTCATCTGGTAGAAAACTACAGCTGGTAGTTTTGAACTGCTAACCCTGAGGTTCTCAGCCCGATTCGTAACCACTATGTTACCAGAGCTCCTTCATATGATCTTACTATCTGAAATATTTAAAATAAGCAATGCACAGAGATAAAAACAGATTAGTCATTTGGGGTTGGGGGTGGAATGGTAAATTATTAAAAAAAATTCACAAATATCCCTGGTCCTTCTGGAACTTACATGAATATATATAATTTGAGATGCAGCGAAGAAACACTGAACTCAAATTCAGTTGAACTAAAACTGAGGAACTATTACCAAATGCATGATCCTTTTTTATAAACAGGAATGGTATTTACTAGTAATTATACATTTCTAATTTAAAACACAATTCCTTCTGCTGTGGTGGTGGTGGTGGTTATGTGCTGTGGAGTCGGTTCTGACTCATAGTGACCCTGCATAGGGTTTCCAAAGCTGTAAACCTTAACGGGAGCAAAAAGCCTCATCTTTCTTCCTCGGAATGGCTGGTAGTTTTGAACTGTTGATCGTGAGATTAGCAGTCCGATTCAGAGGCAGAATGATCTTTCAATCGTAGAAACAGAAACTGTTTCCAAGAAGATATTCTGCACAGGTGTAGCACCTTGACCATGGGGTGATCAGAGTGATCACAACGCTAATCAGAAGATTAATAAATTACTTATGTGGTGGCAAGCAATCTACGGCAAAACACGAAAACCGGAGATGTACTTCTCAAGATGTCACTTAATTATCTATACTGCATATACATGTGACGGAACCCTGATGGTGAACAGTGGTTAACCCAAAGGCGGGCAGTTAGAACCCACCCAGAGCTCCAGGGGAAAATGAGGCAATCTGCTTCCATCAAAATCACAGTCTTGGAAACTCCGCGGGGCAGTTTTACGCTGTCCTGTGTTAATGCTGTTAAGTGCTGTCAACTCACAACGACCCCCACATAGGGTTTCCGAGAAGTGGCTGGTGGGTTTGAACCACCGACCTTAGGGTTCAAACTGACTTTGCGGTCCAGTGCTTACAGTGCCACACCAGGATTCTGTCCCATAAGAGTCGTTATAAATTGGAATGGACTCCACGGCAACAGGTTTGGGTTTGGTTACATGTGTTTGGTTTTTTTAAAAGTAAGTGGAGCACTGGTGTAGCGCTGTGGGCTAATGCGCTGGACTGCAAAGTCGTTTGAGCCACAGGTAGGTAGTTCAAGCTCACCAGCTGCTCCTTAAAAACTCTACACAGGGTCCCTATGGGTCGGAAACGACTCGACAGCACTTAACAACAACAACAAGGCATAAAAGGCTTGGTAGAAACGACTTGAAATCTAACAGGAAGCAGTGCTTTCCAGATGATTCACATTAGTAATGGTTCAACATACTGAGAATTCAAGGATGCACACTTGTTGAAGCAATGACTTTTAAAGTTTAAGCTGTTGGAGCTAGCTCACGGAAAGGCACTACACCAAATCCCAATTTCGAAACTCTTCAAGTTTTAAGATTAAACAGAATTAGTTAAATTCCCTCTCTCCAGCCACAGTTTGGGAAAATCAAAACCGTGCTTCAATTTATACTTTGACTGTGTGTGTCTGTGTGTGTGTGCGCACGTGGGGCTGACAATTTGAAGAAATTTAAGAGGAAGACACCTGGATCAGATGGGGCAGAAGCGAACATCAGATTCCTAAATAGCAAGGAGCCTTCCAGGAAAACTTAGTACCTTTTTTAGTTTTAATCACAAAAGCGAGTTTGGAAACACGAGAGTGGATCAAGGCAACTTGAAAACTACACACAGCACCGAATGTCACTTTTTCATGCTCACACCCCCTCCTCCCCCCACCCAGCACCCACTTCACATTTGTCGAATGAATGAATGAATGAGAGGGTGATCTGGATCGGGTACTCTCAGGGCAGTCCCCCCATACCAGTCTGGCCAGGGCAGGAACAGCGTGCTAGGCACTCGGAAGTGCCCGGGAACCCTCGGGGGAACAGTGCGGGACGCGGGCAGGGTTGGGGCCGGGCCTCGCCGAACAAAGGAGGCGCGCGGCGGACTGGCAGGGGCTCCGGGCGGGGCAGGGGCCGCGGCTCACCTCGTCGCCCCATTTGAGCACGTCCTTGTGCCGGTCCTTGACGGCATTGTAGATGTGCAGGAACTGGAGGATCCCGTGCCGCCGCACGTGGTCCGCGTGGCGTTTGGTCTCCTCCCAGCTCAGTGGCGAGCCCTGGGACAGCAGCCCCATGGCCGCCTCCTCCTCCTCTGACCTCGGACGCTCGTTCCGGGGCGCGGGGCTCAGTCGCTGGCCGGACACTCAATCACTCGCAGGAGATGGCAACAGAGGCTGCTCCGCCCCTTGGGGGCGCCCTCGGGCCACAGATGGCGGAGGGAGGGTCCCGTCCGATAGGCTCCCCAGCGCGGGACTCCCTGACGCACAGGTGACGGACCCAGGGGCCGGCGCACCGCGCGGACAAGGCTGAAAACCGGATGGCAAGCTGGGGGGCACTCAAGCCGGCGGCCTAGCCCCACGCCTGCTCCTAGGCTGCGACAACGGGATCCACAGCCGCCCTGCGGCGGTAGCTACCGCTACTCTGTGCCGGTACCGTGCACTGGCTTCTTCCTACTTATGACCAAAACCTGCGCCGCCACAGAGCATGCCCAGATGTCTTGTCTTCTCACTCACCACTCCCAGCCCGATCCGACACTCCGGACTTTATAGGCCACGGGCAGGAGGCGGGGAAGAGGAGGCGGTTCAGGGAAGAGGCGTGACTGTGGCCTGAAGGGATTGCAAATGAGGAGTACGCAGGCGTGGTTAAGACAGGCGATGGAAAGGGGGGGCGGGGGAGCCTAGGAGAACGGTGAGAGAAAGGGAGAAATGAGACTGGGGAGAGGGAAGGGTGGAAAGGAAAGAGGGGATGGGAATTAAGTGGGTTTCGCTTTAAGCAAATCTGATACGTTAAAATTCATTTTCCTAGCCCCAAAAGATAAACTCCGGGTTGGGGAAGAATTAATATAGAATTCACCAAGTTAATTTTTAGGCGAGAAGGGCTTCACATTAATAAAAACGTGGTAACAGCAGCAGAGTGCAGTGAGAAAAATATTAACTTGGGAGTCAAATGAAGCACCTGCTCAACTCTAGAGTCCAGCACATATTGGCTCTGCGACCTTGTGGACAAATTGTTTTCCTATCAACATTGAATCAAATTAACTTATCCTTTATGTCTTAAGAATATGCACAATGTACATGTACCTAGAATAGCTGCTCAATAAGTTAAACCAGTTATTAAGAGAAATCAATTTGTCTCCAAATGTTTAGACATATGTGTAATTACAAAGACTTGTAATTAACTATTTCATGGCATGTGCTTTCTGGATGGCACATATCCCAACCACAACAGAAGTGACTTTGTCAACATATCTAGTTGTACCATTTAAAGAAGTCATTTCCAACATTTATTCTTTATTGAAATCTAAGGTTCATTCATTTAATGATGAAAATAATACTTATAATGTCCATTTGAAGTTACTATGGATAGTAAGAATAACTGGGGTTGACCCTATCCTAGTGGGAAAAGGAAGGATGTACACTACACGACCCCAAAATAATTTTTCAATAAATATGTGTTAACAGAATGCTGACATGGCAGGCCAGGGGAACCGTGACAGTAACTAGGTCATACATGTACTGATCTAGGCAGTGTGTATTTCTTGTGCTTCCGTTCCTCACATTATAGGGTTAACATTTTGAAGACACTTGTTAATTGCTAAATGAATATATCACAATAGATATGAGAGTCTGTTTTCTCATGATTTCTGTATTGAGTGTACCTATCACAAGTGAACCAACAGATTGCAGAAATTGTTGTACAATATAATTAATACCACATGCAAGTGAAATTTCACTTAAGATAATTCAAAAACAATTGCAACAGTACATCAACAGGGAGCTGCCAGGAATTCAAGCTGGATTCAGATGAGGATGTGGAACAAGAATTATCATTGCTGACATGAGATAGATCCTGCCTAAAAACAAAAAAATACCAGAAAGATGTTTACTTATATTTTATTGACTAGGCAAAGTCTTTCAATTGCATGGATCAAAACAAACTATGAACAATTAATTGCAAAGAGTGGGAATTCCAGGACACTTAATTGCACTCATAAGGAACTCTTGTACATAGAATAAGAGGCTGTCTTCAAAACAAAGAGATATTGCATGGTTTAAAATCAGGAAAGGTGTGTGTGTCAGGGTTGTGTTTTTCCCCATATTTATTTAAACTGTATGCTAAGCAAATAATCTGAGAGACTGGACTATATGAAGAAAAACAGGACATCAGGATTGGAGGAAATCTCATTAACAACCTTTGATATGCAGATGACACAATCTTGCTTGCTGAAAGCCAACAGAATTTGAAACACTTTCTGATGAAGATCAAAGAATCCAACCTTCAGTGTGAATTGCAACTCAATATAAAGAAAACAAAAATCCTCACGACTGGATCAATTGAGAACATCATGATAAACAGAGAAAAATTGAAGTCGCCAGAATACTCCTTAAAAGTGAGAATGGCCAGACTTCATCTTACTAACGTTGGACATGCTATCGGAAGGGACCAGTTACAGCAGAAGGACATCATGCTTGGTAAAGTAACGGGTCAGTGAAAAAGAGGAAGATCCTCAAAAAGGTAGATTGCCATAGCGGCTGCAGCAGTGGGCTCAAACACAATAATTTTAAGGATGGTGCAGGACTGGGTAGTATTTTGTTCAGCTGTAGGTAGGTATGAGTCAGAACCTACTTGAAGGCACCTAACAACAACAACAACAACAACAACACAGGTCTTGGGGACATTGCTGTTCTGATTCTGATTGCCATTTCCACATGTGGAGTGGGACAAGGGTGGGGTTTCCAGATCAGGAGACATTTGAATCTCCAGTGCTCTGACAGGATAAAAAAAAACAAGCCTGTTGTTTGGCACACCAAGTCCTTTCTAATTTGGCAAACAAAGACCTCAACAGCTTCAACTACTGCCTCAAGTAGCTCTTATCCTTTCCACGATACCTGTGTCATCCTGACTTTCTGTTTTAACACATGCAATTTCACTTGCTTACAATACTCTGATATTCTATCTAACATTCTCCTGTTCATCTTGTAAGTGCCATTTACCCCTCTTTGGGTTCCACTTGTATTCACTTGTATTGGGTGGCTAACTATAAGGTCAACAGTTATAACCCGCCAGCCGCTCCTAGGGAAAAAAGATGAGACCTGGCACCTGGACCGATTTACAGCCACTATGAGTCAGAATCGACTCACTGTCAGTAAGTTGGGGCTGAGTTCTATTTGTACATTGTGAGACCTACCCACCCACTGCCACTGAGTCAATAGGACAGAGTGGAAATGCTCCTTAGAGTTTCTGAGACTCAGTCTTTATGGGAGCCAACAGCTTCATCTTTCTTCCCAAAAGCAGCTGGTGGGTTTGAACAATCGTTATGTTTGAGCCCATTGTTGAAGCCACTATGTCAGTCTACCTTGTTAAGGGTCTTCCTCTTTTTCATTGACACTCTACTTGAACAAGATGAAGTGTGGCCATCCTCACTTCCAAGGAGTGTCTGACTGTACTTCCTCCAGGACAGGTTTGTTTGTTCTTCTGACAGTCCATGGTACTTTCCATAGTTAGAAGCCCAGCACTTAACCCACTGTGCCACCAGGGCTCTTTGTACATTGTGATGTTGTTGTTGCTGCTGTTAAGTGCTGTCAAGTCGGTTCCAAGTCATAGCAACCTTGCATAGAGTTTCCAAGGAGCAACTGGTGGGTTTGAACGGCCAAACTTGTGGTTAGCAGTCCAATGCTGATCCAACAGCCCCATACCAGGATCATTCAAAATGTATCTCTAACCTAGATAGCAACTTTTCTGGGGTAGAGATGATTTGTGCCTTTGGTACTCTTAGTTCTTATACAGCAGAGGTGGTGGTAGTTTTGTGCTTTCTCCATATAGCAACCCTCTATAGGGTTTCTGAGGCTGTAAGAAATGTTAGCTGCCCTGTAGAAAGCAGGGGGTGGGGAAAAACAGTGATGGTCATTGTTTCACAAGTAAGTAAAGCGTCCAAAGGACAATTTTGTTATTCTAATCATTGAACCTCACATTTGCATAGGCCTGAAATTTTAACATGATAGCCATCAACCACACATAGTTATTGAACAATTGAAATGTGGCCAATGTGACTGAGAAATTGAATTTTTAGTTTTATTTCATTTTCCAGAAAACCAAAACCAAACCCCCTGGTATCCAGTTAATTTGGACTCATAGCGACCTTATATAAGGTTTCCAAGACTGTAAATCTTTTACAACAGACGACTTCATCTTTCTTCCTTGGAGTGGCTGGTGTATTTGAAATCACCTAACCCACAGCATCACCTGGGCTCCTTATTTCATTTTGTTGTTGTTTAGTGCCAACTCATAAAGGCTGGTGGGTTTGAGCCACTGTCCTTGCAGTTAGTAGTCCAGTGCTTGTCCTACAGCACCACACCAGGGCTCTTCAGTCAATTTAAGTGTAAATGTGATCATTGACATCCCATTCAGTTATTGGAAAACTTTTAAGAAGATTGGAAATGATTGGGCATAATGAATCCACTTTTTCAACTATGTTGTTGTTAAGTGCCATTGAGTCGATTCCGACCCATAGCGACCCTGTTCAGGGTTTCGAAGGAGCAGTTGGTGAGCTTGAACCATCGACCTTGCAGTTCAAACTGCAGTCTGATGCATTAGCCCACGGCGCCACACCAGTAAATTTAATGAAATCAAAATACAGATCAAACGTTTCCAATGAAAATCTAGGATCAGTATTGAGATGTGCTGTGAGTATAATATGCACAAATAATTTTGAAGACTTAGTATGAATAATGTAAATAGCTCAATAATTTTGCCATGGATGCATGTTGATATTTAAAATATGTTGAGTTACCTTAAATGTTATTTAAATTCATTCATCTGGTTCGTTTTAGTTCTTAAAGGTGGTTACTGAAAATCTTAAGGTCATACATGTGGCTCAAATTCTATTTTATTCAACAGCACTGGTGTAGACTTTTATACTTTATTAAGTACACACTTGCCTAGTGCACCAGCTGCATTTCCATATGAATACAGTGAGGCTGGTCTCTTGAAAGCTCTCAGCTTCATTTTGGTGACGAAATGGTTCATTAAGAGACTAAGTTCTAGTCATGCAGAAGTCCTATGTGGTAGTGAACACTGTGAAATTTGA